ATGACTCACCCATTGAGTTGGACCATCAACCGGCGCGTTAGAAGGATCATCATGTACCTAAGTCCCCAAAGGAAAATCTTAAAAACTCAAAAGTCTACAGCAAAGTGTGCATATATGAATCTATTCATAAAGAAGAAGACTACCCTAAGAAATCTTTGCGCAGCTTCATATTGGCCGTATAATTAAAAGCTAAGAAAGATGAATTCATATTGCACACTTTCGAATTTGTATGGAAATAGTTGCAGATAAACGAGATTATTTATTCACAAAGCTCCTTCAAAGTGAACTCAAATGAATTCAAATTAATCTGTGCCCTACTGTTAATTGGAATTACTTAACTTCAACTAATTTGTTCTCTAGTAACCCTAGAATTACGAATCCTAATCCTAAGAGTAGATGAAGCATAATGCCTGCATCAACAGATTACTTTACCTCCATGAAAATTCCATCCACTCCAACAGCAACTGCTGTCCTTGCAATGCACGGAATCAATTCACGAAGACCACCACTGGCTACACCTCCATCATCCAACTATAGGAGAAAGTTACCATTTGATATGAGAAAAAACATTCGTATCAAACTAAAGTAATCATATTACATCTTAATCGAAGAAATATTGTGACACTACGGATAGAAACTTACAGAAAAGCAGGATTATTGCAAATATCTCCACACACAAAAATTACAACATCAACAACCAGAAGCAATTGCCAAAAGTATTTATAATTTCATCCACATACGCAATAAGATAAGACCGGTTCCTAATGTTTGTTGTTACTCAATAAGAAATGAAACAATCCAACATTTTCTCCCCAACTACCAAATTATGTGATTTTTCACAGGTCATTTCTATGTCAAGGAGAAATGTAAAGGATTATTTAGTCTAGGTTACAGTCTTCATGGGAAATAACACGGACATAACCATACTTTTTGAAGCAAGGAAATTGCAGAGTGCTAACTTACGAAAAAATATATGTAAGAATTTTCTCACCTTTCTCCCAGCAGGCTGTTGCAATGCATGTGTTACATCAGCAACCTGTAGCAAAACACTTAAGTTGAATCAGCTGGTCTGGTCCTCAGATTTTAAAATGAAATGGAGGCAGCGTGTTCAGACTATCACTATTGAAAAATTGGGACAGAAAAGAATGCAAAAGTGAAAGAGAATTATCCAACAAGAACCAATGACTGAAAGCATTTGTAAGGATCAGGTAAAGGTCACCCAACTGAACTGGATACATGTCAAGTTTTCAACCCACTCCTATAGATTGTCAGACAACTGAGACCTACTAGCAACATACAAACACATATTTCAACCTCTTTGTAATTGATTTCAGTATTTATGAGGAAACAGGACAATATGAGAGTCAAATTTTCATTGTCTTTTTATGAGATGACGATAAAAAATTTCATTAGAAAGCCAGGTGTTTCCTATACATTCAGTGCCCAACATTTCCTACAATCGCTTCCTATAGGTGCTTCTCCATCCCCAGAAGCACTTATTGTCTATTTCAACCAAACATTATAAAAATCATTTTGGAAACAAATTGAGACTGGGGAAAAGGAGGGGGTGTAGTCGTGTACTTCCAGTATTCCTGACAAGGAAAATGAAGCACAAAATAACAACAGCACATAAAAATAGGAGCAGAGTATAAATTTAACTTACAACAGGACAATTAGCTTCTCTGATCCACTCCAAATTGCGCGGATCAACAATTAAATCATCTATACACCAAATCAGAAATATAGGATAAATCAACTGAGCAAGAACAAATTATGAGAATGCATCAATAACTTTGATTGTAGAATGTTTAGAAGGCAACATTAAATCTCAAGAAATATGAATGGAGAGTCAATGCACGGAAGTTTAAAGACAAAAAGGGGGGAACATGACGCCAACGAAATATAGTTTCACTAGAATTAAGCAATGGCCACACAGAAAGTGGGGCAAGCACTAGAATATTGATGAAAGCTGAAACAGAAAGCTTAATTGAAGAGAGCATAGATACTGTAAGACTTACTATAGCCAAACATAGTTCCCCTTTCACAGACCATCACGTTTGGATTTCCAGCCAGTCTAACCTTCTCAGCAGAATTTACCATGACCTGAAAAAATGAACATTTTGAAGATTAAAATCAGAATCAGAAGCATACCTAAATCTTTTAAAAGAGATTAGTTAGTGGAGGTCTAATCAGTTAGTTCAGATTGAACTACTCATCATTAAACCCAGAGAGAGAGAGAGAGAGAGAGAGAGAGTAAATCACTCACAGAAGGTGCACAGAATTGGCCTTTCTTAATGTTGATAATTTTTCCAGTCTTGGCTGCTGCAACTAGAAGATCTGTCTGCTTTCATAAGAAGTCACAAATAAGATACATTGGCACTCTCACATCCTCTGAAACTAAAAACTTCATGAATTTTTTTTTTCTGATAGAGGATTCCGTTTAACTTAACCTGGCGGCACAAAAATGCAGGAATCTGAATAATGTCTGCAACTTTACCAACTTCTTCACACTAGGAAAAACAAAAAAGCAAAGAAAAATGTGAGGAACAGTTCATGACCTGTTACAAACCAGTTGACATATCTTTGATTCAATCTTGGAATGGTTGTTAAAGAGACCCGTGGTAATCGTCTTTTTTTCCTTTATCTGAGGAACTTTCCTCGATGTATAACACAGGATGGTAAAGAAATAGACAAGGATGCATGGTGTTGCCTGATTGTGCATGCAAGTATTCATGATAGAATGCATAGAGATCCATTGACCATGTCCAAAATCAAGAAATATAACAGCGTAAATTATAACCTATTCCAGATTCTCTCTTTTCCTTATCCACACACATTTTTACAAATTACATGGACATATCGTGATGGAGATAGCGTATCCGACGTATCCAAATGGTACACATTTATTCAGCACAGCAAAGAGTGTCTTGTCAAACAAAGCTCGTTCTTCCTACCCTTTAGGCTTTATCTTTAACCCATCAAATTTCCAGGCTTAAGAAAACAATATCTATTATATTAAAAACAAGAGTTAAAAATTATGTATATTAAGAGAGGAGACAGAATGCTCACCTGGCTAGCTTCGTGCACATCTGTAATTATAGGGATGTCATATGCTACTTTAACCTTTTCAAGGATCTGAAATAATTCGGGAAAAATAATGAGGAATTAGTGATTCCAAGTTAAATATCTTCTCTATTGACAATTAATGTCAAGTTAATGCTAGGAAAGATAAATTTTACTCTAGAAAGTTCTAACCATGATTTTTTTTGTATGCCCTAGTAATTGCAGCTAAGCCATTAGAAGGCTAAATGTATCAGCTAATGACACAGGAAAACTTCAAAGTTCAAGAACACATGACTGACCACGATGGGAAAAACTGATTACCAACACTGAAATTGTAGTCTATTTGAAAATTAATAAATATCTAATACACTCCCTATATTTATGACCACAGAAACCAAAGTGGTTTGTATCTTAACTTCAAATGAAAACAAAATGATGTAGCTGTGCATCACCTTTAAGCCTTCAGTGAGGCCAGGACCCCGGAATGATTTTGAAGATGTACGGTTGGCTTTGTCAAAGCTTGACTTGAAAACCAGTGGCAATCCAACTCTACAAGATTGGAAAACAAGTTGTCTATATCACCAAAAATCAAAAGTTCAAATCCAATCTTCTATCCCCATTCTGGCACATAGAAGAGCCCGATAAAAATGAATCTTTTTCCTTCTCTTATTTTGCATAAAATAAACTACAAAAATAAACAAATGTTCAAAGAGTAAATGCATAAATCCCAAAGAGAAGGAGCAGACTTTGTTGCAACATGCTTTATGTGCTTGGCCATCCGGAAAATGTGCTCTTCGGATTCAATCACATTGGGACCCGCTAATAAGAAAAATGGTTCTGCTGCCTGTGGAGACAGATCAATCAAAGATTAAAGTACCCATTGGAACCATAAAGCATCCAAATGCATATACCCTTTAACACAGGAACTTAAAAGACCCCAACAAAGTAAAACCTTGAGCTGGTTATATAACACTGTTGATGCATCCATCTTTGCCACTTCGCTGAAATACAAATGAGACTACATATAAGCATTCAAAGTTTCAAACATAACACGTACTAAAAAAATTGTTAATTTAATCAAAGCAGCAGCCAAGATCTCAAGGAATTTAAAAAAAGTTTTTCTTGCGGTTGATAATTCAGATGCTGATAGTCTGTGTATGATTCGGAGGTAATCTATTTTCCCGCAATTTTTTTTCGGGCATCCAAACGGACCATAAAACGAAATGTGAATGCAAATTCAAACTTGGATGTAGTTGAATTTCACAGATCTTCAAATATATTGCAGAATATAAAAAAGAGGCGGATCAAGCAGAGAACTTTACCTCACTTTAATCACAAAAACAGGGAGAGCTTCAGTGAGTAATGGTATAGAAGCAGAGACGAGTTACCCAGATAGTGTTATGAAATATCTCTGTCACCGACTCTCTGTCACTGTCACTGAAGCTGTGCTGTATGAGAGTGTGTGCGTGCGCGCTCGACTGTGTGTAATGTGAAGGTCCAAAAAACTTTGGAGGCCCAACTCAGAAAATTCTCAGCCTTTTTAACTTGTAATTTGGGCTAGTAACCCCATTACAACGAGCTTCTGAAAAGTGGGCTCACTCATTGTTTGCTGATAAGAGCTTCTCATTAGCAATGAATAATCCCCCTCACTTGCTCCTCTAATTTAGCGAGCTCGAAAAGCGGCTCGCAATATAATACCCACGCTATATTGAATTCGCGAGTCCGAGCTAAACCATCGCAGAACTAAATCTTCGCACTGTCATCGCCCAACCTCACTGTCACCACCACCAACCGTATCGACACCAACAACAATACCCAATTGAACACCCAATCAGTTGACCCAGAGAGCCCTTTCTATCTGCTCCGATTCCTCATGGGGTTACCTAATTTCTGCAACCAAACAAACCCAAATCACTAGCTTGTCAAGATCGAAGAGGATGTGCGGCGTTCCTGGGAGAACACCTTTGCTGAAGCCTCTGTTTGAAGCTTTCCCGATTGAATTAAAAAAAAGAGTCAAAAGGGGAGAAGGAGAACTGGGGAAAAAGGGGATGTGGAGGTGGGTTGCAATGGGAGAGAGAGAGAGAGAATTGGGGTTGGTTGATGCGAGCTCCGATAGTTCTTCTTCTGTTTGCAAAGGCACCAAAGGTGAAGAAGCAAGAATGAATCTATTAATCCCAGGGAGCAAGAGAAGATGGCTTCAGTGGGGGAGGGGGATCGCAGCAGGTATCACTGCATTGATGATTTGATCCCATAGGAGGCAAAACCTCTGTTTTTTCTCCCCGTCCTATTTCCAATGCAATGAACCTAATTATCTTAAGGGTTTAGCTAAAACCTAAATTTACTTTATCTTAAAATGAAATAAAAACAAACAAAAAAAAGATTTTAAAAAAAAATATAAAAAGAATTGGGAGGTTGAGTTGGGTCTGGATTTGATGGTTTTTTTTGTTTAAGATCATTTTAGCCTTTTAAAAAAATTCAGAATTTTTGTTGTTTTTTTAATTATTGTTTTAAATTTAACTTCTTAGTCCGACGCAGAACCAACCGTAGGTCAGTATTTAATTCAGCTTAGGTCAATCCAAGATAGTCCTAGGATTTAATACAGTCTATGACAGTCTGCAGTACCAAATGACCCCAGAATTGATCAATCCACATGGGTCGTAGATTTTTTGTTGGCTTAATTACTATTTTACCCCTTGGAACGATTGCTTGATCTCACTTTACTCTTTAAAACTGAAATTTTCTCACTCAATCTCCAGAATCTCTAAAAATTACTGAAATTTTCTTATTTTACCACTTTCGTCCACAAAGCCGTTAAGTGTGCTGATGTGGCATGTGCATTGTAGTAATTTTAGCTCCTCTATTTTCTATCTTTGCATCTCTCTCTATAACTCCCACTCTCTCATATCCCCCCTCCCTAACCCAACCCTTTCTATAATTACTCAACACACGCAACTTACCAGCTACTCCAGCCAATTCCACTTGGAGGAGGCTTAAGTGGGTGATTTGTGTGTAGCAATCATGGGTGACCATAAAGGGAAGAGGGAAGTAGGGCGGCGAGACGGGGGGGAGTGGGCTAGTGGAGTGGCGAGGCTGGGCTAGATACTTTGGGGATAGGGGTGACTAGAAAGGGAAGAGTGGGTTGATGGAGGTGACAGATGGTGAGCTAACGTGAAGGGGAAGAAAGGCAAAAAGGGGTTTGTTAACCCTAATATTTAAAATATATATTTAAAATATGTTTGTTATATTTAATTTGGATTTTAAAGTTTTTAGTGGCTAAAATTACTAAAATATTCATGCCACATCAGCACACTTAACAGTTTTGTGAAGGGAACGGAAGTGATAAATTGAGAAAATTTTAGCAATTTTTAGAGATTATGGGGGTTAAGTGATCAAATTTCAATTTCAAGGGTTAAAATAAGATCGAACGTCCATTCTAAGAGTAAAATAGAAATTAAGCCTTTTTGTTTATAGGCTTATTATATATTTCACCCCCTGAAACTGAAATTTTCTCACTTAACCCCTTGAATCTCTAAAAGTTGCTTAAATTTTCTCACTTTACTACTTCTGTCAAGATACTTAATGGTTTTGTGAATGGAAATGGACGAAAATGGTAAAGTGAGAAAATTTCAGTAATTTTTAGAGATTCAAGGGGTTAAGTGAGAAAATTTTAGTTTAATGGGGTAAAGTGAGACCGAGAGTCCATTTTAAGGGATGAAACAGTAAATAAGCCTTGTTTATATAAGTGATATTAGAAGAGAGGGAGAATCGAACCTAGAACCTAAGTACATGGATAAATATTCTTATCAATTTGAGCTACAAGTCCCTTATACTTGGGTTGTTTGTAAATTTGGTTTGGTTTAAATCTCAAGGTGCATGTGCATCCAAACCAATGTTATATAACGGTTCATGTTGGTTCTGTTTGGGTAACAAAACCAAGACATTCCATATAGTGGTTTTTTCTTTTTTTTAAGATAGAGAAATTTGGGAAGAAAGATAACATCAAATTCAAATGATTGATGCATGTTACGAAACATAATAGTAGATGATAATAACCAACAAGAAAATCCCAAGTTAAGAAGAAATTATATAAGCGGTTTAGTTTAGCTTAGATTTAGATAAGTTGAATCGCCTAAACTTATTACAATTTGGTTCAGTTCAACAAAAATTATAGTTATTTAAAATAAGATAAATAAAAAATTCGGATTGATTTGGTTTGTTCGGATTTAACATTGCGGACAATTTTTTTGCCTACCAATCAAGTCAACTGCTAAACTTTTCACAAAATCTGCAACAACAAAAATATTTTTTTATTTTGAGTGACCAACAAAAAAATATTATTTTGTGGTGTTCATAAGGCTTAGAATATATTAAAAAAAAATTTTTAGGTTTTTTAATATGAAATGGTCTGCCGAGATGGGCGTGGCAATCCATGCGGCTAGCTTAGCTTCTATCATGGAGGCCCCAGCCCTCTTGACATAGGTGGCTAGCTGACTTTCTTTTTCTTTTCTATGTTTTTTTTTTAAATAATTGTTTTTTATTATTTATTCTGTTTAGTTTTAAAGAAACCAAACAATAGAAAGAAAAATCGAAATCAAAAGAAATTTTGTTAAGAGCAGGATGTACTGATGTTTGTAACTGAGTGTAGGCTACTAAGCTCACATATGAAGATTCACCTTATTCGTAATTCTGCTGGTGAGTGGGTGGCAGGTTTTTCAGCTAATTTGGGTCATGGGGAGATTTTGATGGCTGAACTGTGGGAGTTGTATCATGGCCTAAAACTAGCTCAAAGGTTGCAAGTGACAAAGTTTACTGTTGAAACTGATTCTACTATTGTCTTGCACCTTTTGAATGCTAAGTTGGAGCCGAATCACCCCCTCCTTACTTTGCTAAACATGTGCAAAGTCTATTGGAAGAGTTCCTGGGACTGCAACATCTTTCATGTTTTTAGGGAGGTTAATTTTGGTGCTGACTCTCTGGCCAAAATGGGGCATGAGATGGAAATGGATATTCACTGCTTTGTTTTGCCTCCTGGTGGTATTACCGGTGTTCTCCAAGAAGACAGGGATGGCCTTTTAAGGTCTAGATTGATTTATGTTTAGTTGTTGTTTGGGCTTAGCCCTCTTTGTTACCAAAAAATTAAAAAAAAAAAGAATTCACTTCAGCAGTTGCTCTTTTCTCTGCTTTCCTAGTCTCAGCATTGAAAAGTGAAAACCCATTCCTCAGAAAGCTTTTAGTAGTAGTTGCTTATTCTCTCTTGGTTTATTGAATTGAATAGTCATGAAGAAGGCTTCTATTGACATATAGATATCTCAAGCCTATCACTCATTGATTCATTGTCATGTCAGAAAGTTAAAATAGACGATAATTAGTGATTTGCTCAAAATAGCACCATAGTGGTATTCTTGGTATAAATAAGTTTTTCTCGGTTCTTACGTCGTCAATGAATAAAGAGTCATATTAAAATATTGCATATAGCTGCAAGATGTATGCATGTCTAAACCAAAACCCAGTTAATTAATCACTAAAAAGGACATGGAAAGTATACTAAAAGATGAAGACATAATATCGACATTATTGGGTTGACCATCTTAATCCATGCCCCAAATCGATGAAATCTAAGCCAAACTCCCTTGATCAATGTGTTTGGATGACAACATTCTGTCTTCACTTCCTAGGCTTCTACATGCTTGAATATGATATGAGTATTTTTCTTAGCTGTCTCAAACACCCAAATTTCAAACCCTTTTTTTTCTTGTGATCCCTTCTCTCAAAATCAATTTTTTATATGATCCTCATATGGATCTCTATGACCTCAATGTTGAAATACTCAAACAGCCTGCCCAATTCCCAAAACTCCACCCAACTTCGGAGAAATAAGACATGGTAAAACTTTAGCTATCTTGAAATGAAATACCAGATCATTAGCAGAAACAGAAAAAATGTAAGACAAAATGGGCTAGTAAGGATGAAAATATCATTCACTATCTGTCAGATATTCACTTAGGTTTGAAATTGGATGATCTGTAATTACATGGGATTACAATTACCTATAATTACATGGAATTACAATATCACAATAAAAAGAAAGTAAATCATAGCAATTGGAGTGGCTGATTTTGTGCAGATTTAGCGCCATTTTGATTACTATCCATTTAAACAGTATCTGGGGGGTGCCTGCAGAATCCTGACAATTTAAAACTTTTCCACACAAAAATGAACCATGTCAGATTTTGGAGTTTGGGCCATCCAGCCTATTCTTAGTGCCACATGCACTGCATACAACCTGTCCTTTATAAGTTTTGACTCAAGAGTTATTTTTGCATCTCTTTGTTCTGCTAACAAAGTGTCTCAAATCATCCAGCAGTGCACATTTCTCTCTTTCCACATAAGACTAAGCTGCACTTCTCAAAAGGCCCAAAAAGCTCTATATATATATATATATATATATATATATATATATATATTTTCCCTCCTTTCTTTCCCTCACCCTTTGCCACATCTCAAACCATGTTCACTTTTCAATTAGCTCCCTCTTTCAACAGGTTAAAGATAATATCCATCCTAATTTTTCTTTTTCCCAATATGGTATTTGGAGACTGTACATGTGAATCTGAGGACACAGAGCACAACAAAGAAGCTGCACTCAAGTACAAACTAGGTTCCATAGCTTCCATCCTTGTTGCCGGTGCTGTTGGGGTCAGTCTGCCATTGCTAGGCAAGAAAATCCCAACTCTAAGACCCGAAAACGACATCTTCTTCATGATCAAGGCCTTCGCAGCCGGCGTGATTCTAGCAACTGCGTTCATTCACATACTACCAGATGCATTTGACAACTTGACCTCACCATGTCTTAAAGAAAATCCATGGGGAAAATTTCCCTTCACTGGTTTTGTTGCCATGCTATCTGCCATTGGAACACTGATGGTTGATTCATTGGCAACCGGGTACTACCAGAGGTCAAACATAAAGTCCAGCCAAGTGACAGTTCATGAATTGGAGACGAGTGATCATGTACATGGTCATGCAGCAGATCATGTACATGGCCACACACATGCCACACAGAGTCATGCTCATGGCTCTGAAGAATTGACGTCATCAGAATTAATCAGGCACCGTGTCATTTCGCAAGTAAGGAACTTTACTGAGAAAAGCAAGCATCTCATTACTATTTATTTTGTTCACTGAAATTTTAGCTTCCATGGTCATCTTGTAGGTCTTGGAGCTGGGGATCCTAGTGCACTCAGTTATAATTGGAATATCATTGGGTGCTTCCCAAAGCCCTGAAACAATAAAGCCTCTCATGGTGGCTCTGTCTTTCCATCAATTCTTTGAGGGCGTGGGCCTTGGTGGCTGCATCTCCCAGGTTTGACTCTGCAGCCTCTAGTAAGGACCAAGTAGGAAGTCGGTGTTTTAAAAGGAAATTCTCTTTTGACTTGTTATGTACAGTGCATTCTCTTGATCATAAAAGGATTTCTCTATTTGTCACAATTGCATTCTGATCTATATCTACACTATCATCATGATCTCACTTACAATCATTAAGCTCCTTCTCCACTGCTTTGCAGGCTAAATTCAAGTCTCGGTCTGCAGCGATCATGGCTGCATTTTTCTCACTCACAACCCCAGTGGGGATTGCAATTGGCATTGGCATATCAACCGTTTACAATGAAAGCAGTCCCACTGCTCTAATTGTTGAAGGGACTTTCAATGCTGCTGCAGCTGGGATTTTGATTTACATGGCTCTTGTTGACCTACTGGCAGCTGATTTCATGAACCCTAGACTGCAAAGCAATTTGAAGATTCAATTAGGAGCATATATTTCACTTCTTCTAGGGACTGGTTGTATGTCTGTCATAGCCAAGTGGGCTTGAGGTTCCTATTACATATTAAAGTGTGGTTTGTTAATTAAGGGCGTGTCATAATCCTTGAAGCAGAGTTGTGAGGTGTTTTTAGGGCTTTAATCCTTGCTTGGAATGAAGGTATTCCAAGAATTAAAGTGGAATTTGACTCTATCACGATGTTTCATTGATTAAAGGTAAGATTATCACGTTTGTTCTTTGTTTAGTCTCACATAGGCTAAAACTCTAGTTTGGGTTATCATCTTTTAGAGTCTTCCCCTTTCTCTATTGTAGGCCTGTAGGCCAATGATACTGCTAGCGTGCTAGGGTCGTCCCAATGCTTCTATATTTGGACTTCGGCCTACCTAGATGTGGCCCACTATGTGGTTGTCACATGTGAGGAGCATGTTAAGGATTGTAAAAATACCATATCAGAAACTTGATAAAATAAAATATGCAAGCGTGTGATTGCATTACTAGTTAAGAGTGTTATAAGTGTTGGTGACATTAAGCTGTTCGGCTGCAAAAGTCTAAACATTTGTGCCACTCATGTGATATAGTAAATGTGAGACACTGTCGATTCGTTTTATGGCGTAGACAAGTTTTTCTCGTTGGGGCGAGGCATCGTTCAAAAAGCTTTTAGGAGTTGACAATTATGTTAGAGTATCACACTTCCTTAACTATAGGTCCGGTGAATTGAATATTCATGAAGGACGGTTCTATTCATTCATCAATGGATAAAGAGTCGTATTAAATATTCAATAATGCATATAGCTGCAAGATGTGTGCATGTCTCCACCAAAAGGCACATAATTATAATAATACTAAAAAGATGAAGACATAATATGTCGACATTATTGGGTTGACAATCTTAATCCAAGCCCCAAATTGATGAAATCTAAGCCAAACTTCCTTGATCAATATGTTTGGATGACTACATTCTGTCTTCATCTTGTAGGCTTCTTACATGGTATGCTTGAATGTGAGTATTTTTTTAGCTGTTTCAAGCATCCACAATGGTAGCGTGTAAAGATGAATGTATGCTAAATTCACACCTATTGTCACTGGAAGTTGCTGCAATGAGAGGATGTAAAGGCTTGTAAATTTACATTGGTCACGGGATGTGTATAAAAGATGCTAATTTACATTTATTTTTACACTCATTTTGCTGACCTCACAAGCAAGAAATGAAGAGAGAGGAGAGAGAAGAGCAGCTGAAAAGGTGATTCCACTCTCCAGAAAAAGCGAAGTGACTGGCCACATGGAAGACAAAGTGCAAATTGGCTGAATACAGCCTCCATCGGTCACCAAATAAGTGGTCCAAATTGTTTCTTTTTGAAAATCAATGGCCTAGATTTAATTGCATTTGATTAACAACAACAAAAAAATCGAATTTACATCTTCCCTCATTGGAGCAGAAATCACATTTACATCCTCAAATGTATAAAGGGGATTTAAAAGTGACTTTATACCCCCAAATTTACACACCACTATTTTGGATACTCTTAGACCCAAATTTGAAGAAGAAAAAAAAATCTTCTTTTTTCTGTCATCCCTTCTCTCATAATTAATTTTTTATAAGCCCATCATGAATATCTATGACATCACTGTTGAGTTGCTGAGACACCCCATTCTCCTAATTGTCCAATTCCAACAACTTCACCAAAACTAGAGAAATACAACATGATGACTAGCAAAAAACAGCAAAAATGTAAGACAAAATGGGTTAGTAAGGATGAAAATACCATCTACTACAGAATCTGAGGGGTGGCTGCAGAGTCCTGACAATTTAAATATCTTCCACACAAAAATGAATCATGTGGGACTGGAGTTTAGGTCATCCAATCTATTCTTGGTGCCACATGCACTGCATACAACCTGTGCTCTGTGAGTTGTGACTAAGAGTAACCACCAGAATTTTCCATCTCTTTGTTTTGCAAACAAAGTGACTCAAATTATCCGGCAGTGCACATTTCTCTCTTTCCACAGAAAAATAAACTCCACCTTTCTCAAAGACCCAATTTACATTTTGGTCCATAAACTAAATTATTCATTCAAATGGTCCACCAACTCTTTATTAATCGGCGCTTTGGTCCTACCGTTATATTTTTTGTTAAATTTAGTCATGTGAGCAGCACATGCTACATTTGTAGGGGTAAATAAGACTTTTGACTTATGTATCACTCTTTTTATCACCACTTTATCACCTATGTATCACCACTTTATCGCCTATTTGGAGAACATAGGACGATTATGGACGGTTTTACCCTTACATTTGACAGCAACATTAACATAATGTAATGGTAGGATTAGTGGAGCGATTAATATAGAGTTGATGAACCATTTGAATGAATAATTTAATTGAGGGACCGAAATGTAAATCGGGTATAAGTTTGAGGACCATTTGAGTAATTTACCCTGAAAATAATAGCAATCCTAATTCTTCTATTTCCTACTATGGTATTTGGAGACTGTACATGCGAATATGAGGACACAAAGCACAACAAAGAAGCTGCACTTAAGTACAAACTAGGTTCCATTGCTTCCATTCTTGTTGCTGGTGCTGTTGGGGTCAGTTTGCCATTGCTAGGCAAGAAGATCCCAATTCTAAGGCCCAAAAACGACATCTTCTTCATGATCAAGGCCTTTGCAGCCGGCGTCATTCTTGCAACTGGGTTCATTCACATACTACCAGATGCATTTGACAACTTGACTTCATGATGCCTCAAAGAAAACCCATGGGGAAATTTTCCCTTCACTGGTTTTGTTGCCTTGCTATCTGCCATTGGAACACTGATGGTTGATTCATTGGCAACCGGGGGCTATCAGAGGTCAAAGATAAAGTCCAAACAAGTGAAGTGACAGTTCATGAATTGGAGACGGGTGATCATGTACATGGTCATGCAGCAGATCATGTACATGGCCACACACATGCCACACAGGGTCATCATGGTCATGGCTCTGAAGAATTGAGGTCATTAGAATTGATCAGGCATCGTGTCATTTCCCAAGGAAGGAACTTTATTGAGAAAAGCAAGCATCTCATTAGTTTTATATTTGTAAACCGCGTATCCTTCTCGTGTAGATAATCTGGGCCTTCACCTAGGGGCTTGGGCCTGTTGTAATGTGAGTAATCTCTGATAACAGATCTGCACACTTGGAACACTATTAGAATAAGGGTGGATTGGGTTTGATCCCAGTATAGACCCCTCTGATGGTGAAGTCAAAAACTTACTTGAACTGGAGAGAGATGGATATAAGGTTTTCACAGTGAAAATATTTATTACTTTTGTCTAAAGATTGGTGAGGGGTATTTATAGGAGGAAGGAGGTGAGGTCAAGATATTTTCGGAGAAGATCTTTTCCCAACTCTGAGTTACATTTAATGTTCTACTTCAGATCACCATTCTGCCTGACAGGAGTTTAAGCAGTGAGGTGACAGTCGAACATGGATGGGTGGTACATTAAATGATCCATTTCCATCACCAACCTGTCAATTTGGAGATGAAATGGTAAGGCGACACCTGGTTGAGGATGAGACACGCATTTAACTGACCCTCTTTGCCTATCAAGTCTGTTCACCGCAAGGTCGGTACGCAGGTGGCCTGGTCGGTAGTGTCCATGTCTCTCTTTTGATGGGCTCGGCTCGTAGAGGTGGTAAGAGCTATTAACAATATTTTTTTCTGAAATTTTAGCTTGCATGGTCATCTTGTATGTCTTGGAGCTGGGGATCCTAGTGCACTAAGTTATAATTGGAATATCACTGGGTGCTTCCCAAAGCCCTGAAACAATAAAGCCTCTCCTGGTGGCTTTGTCTTTCCATCAATTCTTTGAAGGCATGGGACTTGGTGGCTGCATCTCCCAGGTTTGACTCTACATCCTCTAGCAAGGACTAAGTAGGAAGAATAATAAGTATCATGATCTCAACTTACAGTTATAAAGCTCCTTCTCTACTGCCTTGCAAGCTAAATTCAAGTCTCGATCCGCAGCGATTATGGCGACATTTTTCTCCCTCACTACCCCAGTAGGGATTGCAATTGGTATTGGCATATCAACCGGTTACAATGGTAATTGTCCCACTGCTCTAATTGTTGAATGGATTTTCAATGCTGCTGCAGCTGGGATATTAATTTACATGGCTCTTGTTGACCTACTGGCAGCAGATTTCAATGCAAAGCAGCATGAGGATCCAATCAGCTGCATATATTTCACTTCTTCTAGGGTCTGGCTGTATGTCTCTCTTAGCCAAGTGGGCATGAATTTTAAGTAGTATATAATTTTGGGCCACACAACAACAATAATTTCTTCTGTTTTTTGTGGTTATAGGGATTTTAACACTTGACATAACCAAATCTGCTCAAAATATTATTTATTTTCTTGATGTCATGCTTTGGACCCTTGGTGTCTCAGCCCTTACAACTTACAAAATGAACTTACAAAATGTACATTTTCAATTTAGGCCTTGGGAAGCAAACAAAGTTGTGCATGCTTTAGCCCAGCTTGCTTTGAATTTAGAATCCAGTTTTTATTGGCTGGAAGAGGCAATTTGGCTTGATTCTCCTCTTCAAGACGACATGGATGTCTCTTCTGATTTCTATACAGCCTTTCAATCCAAAAAGGAAAAACTTCATATTTACTTATCAGGAATGGTGAAAGTCATGAATCGAGAAACTTGAATAGAAGAATCAAGGAATTCAAATTGAATCAACTACTCCCTTAATTTATCTTATTCTTAAATTTTAAAAATCCACGAAATTTTTTTATTGAAATCATTCCAAAATAATGAGTTAGTAAATACAAGATAAGCATGTTTTGGAATCATTCATGATAAATAAACATGTTAAACTTCTGAAGCATCGACTTTTTTTATTTCATTATATTACGAAAGTAAACAAGCTAAACTTCTAAAGCATCGACTTTTTTATTTCATTACATTACGAAAGTAAACAAGCTAAAACTTCTAAAGCACCGACTTTTTTACTCCATTAAATTGCAGACGTAACCTACTACATTTAACAATCCTTCGAGGGTATGAAGGCGTATATGTGTTGACAATCAGCCTCCCTTGGATTATACTTTACTTGATAGAGTTGAATTAAGGCTTAATGTCTTTTTTTTGTTTTCTTTTTATATATTTATTTTGTTTTTTTTCTACTGCACCTTCTTGTTCGTGGTTATCACAAAATCCCTTTATCCTCTCCCACCAGCTCAGAGCTGGCAAAACTAAATCCACATAACAGTGTGAGAAAATTTGGGCAAAAATGGCGGCTCCCATACTAGCTCTCACTTCATCACTCTCTTCTCTCTCATTTTCGTCTCACGTAGCTCAGAACCCTAGCGTCGTCTCATTTCCCAAATCCAGATCAGTGTCATGTGGAACCCTTACGCGTACCCCTCGCCCGATTATCGCCTCTGCCTCGGTAGCTCCCCCAGAAGCTCTGCAGTCTGCGGACCTAAAAAAATACGTGAAATCGAGGCTTCCCGGTGGCTTTGCAGCTCAGACGATCATCGGCACTGGTCGTCGGAAATGCGCAATCGCTCGCGTTGTGCTCCAGGAGGGCACTGGAAAAATCATAATAAACTATCGGGATGCCAAGGTCTTCTCTCTCTCCCCTTCTCTAAGTGTAGTTAGGGTTTCGAATTGGTTCCATGTTCATCATCCGGATGCATAATTTTTTTAATGCCTGTTTTACAATTGCTGGTACATCTTTTCTTGTCTGGGTTTCATTTCATATATGGTGAAAATCAATGATTGATTGAGAATGCACAATGTCATGTCTGGAGCTTTTGAATTTCCCGCAGAACAATAATGTGGTGAAAATCTCAGAGTTCTCAATTGCTTGTGGATTTGGTACTCCCTCTGTTGCATTACCTGGACGATAGAATACCATAGGCCTAGCTTGGTGGGGGTTAGGATTTAATCCAATACCAGGTTTGGTGTTCAAAATAAGCATGGATAGGATAATAGATAAGCCCATTATGTGCATTTTTTAAGGATATCTTATCCTATCAAGAATGGTGGTATACATAATCCTACTACTCCTACCCTTTGAACTTAGACCAAGACCCGGCACAAACCCGGGACACTAGTGGCAATGAAGAATAAGAGACATGGTCACTGTATTCTTAAGTTTGATTGTCCTTCCGATCAGTGATAACATCTTTCTTTATTTGGAGGTGCTGCTGTGGGCAATTACCAATTACTCATCTCCTCCTATCTTTACCTCTTATGAAGAACATTAGAAATTGTTTTACTTTATTTAAGGATCTTGATGGTGAATGAAACAGTTATTTGAGTTGTTCATGAAAGCATACTATTATTTTTGGCTGTACAAGCAAGCGCCAAAGTTATGAAATTGTCTATTTTTGCCTGTGCAGGAGTATCTTCAAGGCAACCCACTGTGGCTGCAGTATCTCAAAGTACCGTTGGGTACTTTGGGATACGAAAGTAGCTATGATGTCTTCGTGAAGGCTCACGGCGGTGGGCTTTCTGGTCAGGCTCAGGCTATATCCCTCGGCATTGCTCGAGCACTGCTGAAGGTGAGTGAGGACCACAGAACACCTCTGAGAAAGGAAGGGCTGCTGACCAGGGACTCCAGAGTGGTTGAAAGGAAGAAGGCGGGTCTGAAGAAAGCTCGCAAAGCTCCTCAGTTTTCCAAACGTTGATCTGCCTGCCTTTTCTTTTGCCTTCTTATGACCTTGTCTAGTCTAGTCATGCAAAGATCGATCTTTTGCATGTTAGACTAATTGGTTTTTGTAGTAAATAACTAACAAGTTGCATTTGGATATGCTGATGTAGATTTGAAGCAAGGAATTTGGATTTGATTACTTAAAAGAAAACAAAGAAGTTGCATTTGGCTATGCCATGTTCGTTTTGGCAATGATTCCAGCTTTCAATTTTTAGCTATATATTGAAAAAAAACGACTTAAGTTGGTTTTAGTGGAATCATTTGCTCCCCCAAGAAAACAATTCCACATGAAAGATAACCCAAAATTTTCATGGAGTACTGGGAATTGGAAGCCGGCTACAAACCAAGAATCATGTCATAGATGATACATCAAAATTTGACAACCGATATGAGACTATAATTTTCAAGTATTTCCATTCAAAAAACCGAAGCAAAAACCAGAAGAGTAAGAAAAAGGAACTTGCTGAAAAATTGAAGATTATATACATGTTCCATTATTTTCAGACAAAGGTCAAAAATCAACAAGTTACACATTTCCATTTCACAAGTGCGTAGCCTGGACCTAATCTCAAATCTCCTTAATGCTTACATCGCTTTCCTTGTCATGAGCATTTTGGGAGGGGCCAGAGATCTCAATTCAGGTGCAGAACTAGGAAAAAGAGTGTTCAGTTTGTGCATGAGGATGTCAGACCTTGATGGAATCTCATTCAGAAGAAACTGTTGAACAATAGGTTTCTTAAACCACTCCATGACAGCGTCTCCCGGAGCCCTCAGCACCACTTTGCTAACCTCAAATGGAGATTCCACTGAGCTCAAAATCTGTGCAACCACAATCTTCAAAGTCGGTCCCGTGACCAATTTAATTCTCCTGGGGACAACACCATAATACAACATTCTTTTTCTGAACCTATGGAGAGTATGCACAACGGCTATTAGTGCAGCTCCAACTGATAAGTTCCTAACGTCCAGGGACCAAGCAATTTGCTGATCAAAAACTATCGCCTTCGGGAAAAGCTTATTCTCGTAGGCAACTTTCCAAACACATCGAGCTCGGTTTATCTGCCCCATAAGAACAAGGTAGTTCAGGAGAACATTAACAAAGTACCTAGCAGGCCCCTCTTCCAACTCATAATCAATACCTTGAAAAAATTCCCTCACAAAAGATAAGACTGGTTGTTTCCTCTGTTCTGGGCCCGTGAAGAGTCCACACATAAAAGCGTGTGCCTTATGTCTTGTGGCACCAAGTATTGACATCAAATGCCTCTCGTTCTCTTCTTCTTGGCATCTGACAAGATGGGCCAGAATGGATGTGTAAAGAATGAGGTCTACTTTTGCAGCAGCATTCACATATGTTTCTAGGAGAGGCTTTGCTGACTCATACAAACCACTCTTCATACATGACTCAAACAACTGTCTGATTATAAAGTTATTTGTTCTAATCCCTGAGGAACCCATGAAACGTAGCCACCGCAAGGCAAGATCAACAGAACCATCCTTTATATACACCATCAAAACATCACTAGCACTCACATCAACAGAATATCCCATGGTCTTCATCTCAAGCAAAATTTTGGCAGCCACATCCACGAGCTTCTTATTAGCCAAGAGCATCAAAAGGGAGGTGTAAGTACTTAGACCTGGTCTTAAACCTGCATTGGTCATTGAGTTATACAGCTTCATAGCAGAATCTACTTGTCCTGAGGCAGCATGCATTTCTAATAGACACGAATATGTAGATGGAGTGGGTAGAAATCCAACCCTCTCCATATCTGTAAAGGTAGACATTGCAATATCAAGTTTCCCTGACTTTGCATGGGACTCAACAATCATTGTGTATAACCCAAAGTTAGGCCTAAAGCCTGCTTTCTTCATCTCATCCCAAAGCCTAAGGGCAGCATCTAATTTCCCAGCCTTCACATATGACTCAATCATAGAAACATACATGGGAGCAGATGGTCTGAAACCATAACCATGCATTTCCATGTATACCTTCATTGACATGTCCAATCTCCCAGCTTTTCCCATTGAATCAACAAGCGATCCAAAGACATTAAAGCTGGGTTTAAAATTCCTTTCTTTCATTTCTTGGAAGAGCTTAAATGCAGCATCAAGGCGGCCCGATTTTGCCAAGTTTGGTACCATTAACTCATAGGTTGATCCATCCAATGAACAGTTTGCAGCTTGCATGCTCTCATATATCTCAAATGCCTTATAAGGTAAACCCTTATTCAAAAACAGGGTTATAAGCGAATTATATGTTTGAGTATCAACTTTGAAACCTGAATCTTGAATCTTCTTAAAGCAACAAAACGACACCTCCATTTTATCAGCTTTAGCCAAAAACTGAATGACACGGTTATATGCGCTAGATGATAAAACCCCCTTATTACTTGAATCCTGCACCATCTCATCAAATAATGATTGAATTCCATCGAAGTCCTTACTTTGGTTTAGGCCATCAAACAATATCACATAACACTCATCACTTGGTAAATACCAAGGCTGCCTCTTAGCCCATCGAAACAACGTCAAAGCCCCATCACCATCTTTAATAACCTTCAAGGCTTGAGTAATGTGAGTCATGTTTGGTACAAACTGGAGTTTGTCCAATTGGGTCTCTAATTCAGGCCCCCATTTCCACCTCTTCACAACCTCAACAATCTTAGCAATCGCAGAGGCATTCAAAAAAGGCTTCTTCAACTCACCCACCATTACATGATCATCGAGCCCTGGCTCAACGGACCGTATACCTTTTCCAGTGTAAATTACACTGCCTGATTCATCCAAATACTCAATTTCCTCAGTCCACTCATCCCTGTTCTTCCCAGAAGAGTATTTTCTAATCAAACCAGGGCCTAAAGAAAATGGGTTTTCAACCAAATTTGCACTCGAAAACCCAGAGCTCCTCACAAAATTGGGTTTTTCTGGTACAGAAAATCTAGGAGAAACTAAATTGAAACCCGTTATAGAGCTCCATAACCTGAAACTTCCTCCACAACTATTGAGTTCATTTGTACAGAGACTCCGTGAATTGAAATCGTGAAATGCAGAGCTGAAGGTAGGGGTTTTGGTGAGTCTACAAAAATTTATAGGGCACAGCTTCCTCTTATAAATCATTGAGTTCTGGTTATACAGAACTATGATTTTGGATCAAATTTAGGGTTTACAGAGCTTGAATGCTTACCTGACTGTTGAAAATATGCCCCTCTTCACAGCAGAGCTTAAACCCTAGCTTTCAAGTTCCAGCAGACTGAAGTATCAATGGGCAGGCACCGTTACCGTACTGTGACTCAAAGAGCTGAAAGTCTCGTTTTAACACTCCAGGTCATACCGTCAACATTTTGGTTTAACTTCCAAAATTTACATTGGTAATTGGTTGGTAATTTGGTAATGTTTATTTTTGTAAGGGTAAATCCTATTTTTTTTACATCGTATACCATATATATGACAATGAGATTAGCAAAATACGTATAAAATGTGTATATGTGTAATAAGGTAAGTTTATGTGATTTTAAGAAAAACGATCTGATGAAAAACATAGTGTATAATTTGATTGTTTTGTTCATATCAACTCTCCGTTGATATAAAAGAGAAGGATCGAACTTGTGTTTGGATGATATAATGATTTATAGAGATTTGTGTTTAAGATGAAGAGTTATAGCTTATGCAATTTGATTATGAGCATGTCTAACAAGGACCATACTTAGGTGCATGGTTCATCCAGTTGTGATTAATGAATCTTCACCATATATATGTTATAATCGAAATTATGCATTTTCTAAATCACAATTTAAAGATGATTTCTTAAATAAAAAATCAATCAAATTGGAGATCGTTTAGTAACCCATATGTATCAAACAAATTGGCGAGTTTCGTAACACTTAAGAACTTCACAATGAACCTAAGTCAAGCTTCAAAATTGAACCAAAAGTCAGCTTAAGTCGATCACAGATAACATAGCACATGACTTTCAGATGCATAAATGAATACTTTTAATCACTTGAACTACGAGGTCGTAGCATATTGATTAACTAAGCTTTTGAATCTAATACTAGGTTGATTGGAAGCCACCCCGAATAAAAGAACATGGAGGGGGAGTTTGTTTCTAAAATCTCAAGGCTATAAGACTGCCTTTTGCTGCATGTTACATGTATGTACTCGATCTACAAGTTCACTTTTCCACGCTTAAGGAATATGGCATTGCCTTAATTTCTAGATTTGTCAAGAGCATTAGAGCACTAAGCACCCTTCATTCTGCAGAGATCCAATAGATTATAAGTAATCCTTGGTGGGGACATGGTGTTCAGAATAACCTCTGGGAGCAATTTGTTAAAGGCATTATGTTTCGTATTCAAACCTGCAAATGTACTTTTAACTTGATGTTTCATAATTAGGACAAAGGCAATAACATGTTAAAGGCATTATATGTTTTGATAATCAAGCCTGCACACATGTACTTTTAACTAAAGATGTAAAAATAATTTGGACAAAGCAAATCCAAGCGGGTATGCAATCAGAACAAAAATGATTGTCACAAGCATTCTTAGAGAACAGAAGGAAAAAAAAAAACCAGTTCCTGATTTGAATATCGCATATACACTTTGTATCTTGGTTTGGTTTTCCCCACTTAGAGAGAGAGAGAGAGAGGAGAGAGAGAGCTTTGAGTAGAAAGCAAGCAACACAAAAGGGCAGAAAAAACCACACTTTCATTTTTTCCAAGATCAAGCAAGCATATATTCCATGGTTTTCTGCATGCAAAACTATTAATGAGGCAAAAAGATGTTTATGCAGGCTGTGACCGAACAATCGCCTTCCAATAAAATACACATTCTCTTAGACCCTTTTGACCCTTTTTGTATTTCTTCATTCACACATTTCTGAGCAAAGTGACTGAAAGTTGGACTGCTAAAGAATCAATCTTTATGGCCAACTTAATTAGCCAATTGTCTACCATTTACCCTTTCTTTTGGGCAATTCTAGGGAGGTCCAAGGCTGCCTTGGCTAGCCTCTCTATATATTCAAAAGCTTCTTCTGCATGCCTGCCTCTGCCTGCTTGTAGTCTTTGGGTTTTGTGGGAATTGGAGCAAAAGGAGAAGAAGAAGCTTAACTTGGAGTTTTGGGTATTGTTACAAGTCATGGCCACAAACAAAGAGCACACAAGAATTTGCATTCTTTTTCTCTATTTGACTCTGGCAACTATTTCCTTCTATCAATGTGGTAAGCCTCTTCTTTCAAGAATTTACAACCCGTCGTATTTAACCTATTTCGTTTTACTAATTAGATGCAGGAGACAATAAAGTTTATCAAATGGCTTTGTAAGCCTCACTTGGAGACACTGAATTTTGAGATGATTTGAAGTTTAGTTGATAAGCCTAAATGTTTTGGCAGAGGCAAGAAGATCAATGAGATTACTAAAAGCTGTTCCAAGTCCAGCACATCAGAGAAGTCTGTTTCTCAAAGCTGCAAAGAATTTGAAGTTAATTAAGCAAATTGATTTTCCATTGGAGGGATCAAAGGAAATCCAGCCCTATGGTGTGAGCTCACCACTTACATTGCCACCTTATGATTCATTGGCTCCAATTTCCTTGCCTGGAAATGCACCTCCTTATTGTACAACTGCACCCGATACCCCACAAACCCCAACTACAATTTTTACCCCGACTCCATCAATACCCTATCCACCAATCCTTCCTATTCAAAGCCCACCAGCAAGCCCAACTATCATTATCCCAGGCCCACCAGAATCTATCTCCACTCCGAATCCACCCGTAACCTTCCCAAGCCCAACAATCATTATACCAGGCCCACCCGAATCCACTCCTAATCCACCCGAAACTGTCCCAAGCCCAACTGTCATAGTCCCAAGCCCACCAGACTTCATACCTAGTCCCACTATCTATATCCCAAGTCCACCTGATTATGAGCCCAGCCCGCCGGCCCTTGTCCCAAACCCACCTTCTTCGGTGCCATCTCCTTTCGGGTTTCAGCCAAGCCCGCCGGTGTTCGAGCCTCCTATTATCTTCCCCCCACCAACCACGCCACCGACCCCGAAAAGAGGCCCAAAGGCGGCCCTGTGGTGTGTAGCTAAGCCTTCAGTGCCCGACCCTATCATTCAAGAAGCTATGAATTATGCTTGTGGATCGGGAGCGGATTGTGGGCCCATTCAGCCCAGTGGGCCGTGCTTTGAGCCCAACTCATTGTTTGCCCATGCTTCCTATGCCTTCAATAGCTTCTGGCAAAGGACGAAGGTTGCTGGTGGCACTTGTGAGTTTGGAGGAACTGGCATGCTAGTCACTGTCGATCCAAGTAAGTTCATAAATCAATGGTGCATATCTTTCAGAACTATTATTATAGCCGCACAACAAAGAAACTTAATATTTATTTATAAGCATTTTAGGTTATATAAATACTGATCCATTATCTTTGGTGATGTCTTCTTCCACAGGCTATGATGGATGCCACTTTGTCTATTATTGATCAGAGGAGACAAGATCACAATCACAATGCAGATCTTTTTTTCTTTTCTTTTTTTTTCCTTTTCAATTTATCGACACGAAAGGTACAAAATTTCGGTGTATGTGACCATAATTTGAACAGGAATTTTGTAAGTAAAAGTTATGTAGGTTACTGGTTGCTCACTGATGAATGTAGATTTCAATAACTTTCCTGCTACAGATTGTAGGTCTTTTTTCTTTCTTTCTCTTCCTCTGCTGTGTATAAGCATTCCACCAGTACAAGTACAACTAGAAAGAGAAACAGACGATCCATAATTTGGAGCAAAGCAAACTTTTTTTTTTTTAAGGTTGAAAGGCAAATGAATCAACTGATCATAACGGGCAAAGTATTTGCTTTGCCAAATCCAATATAAAAAGTAGAAGGGATTATGTTTTTTTTTTTTTTTTTAGACAGGGATTATGTTCCTTATTGCCCTTTTTTATTTATTTTATAACAGTAGAACGGAATATGTTCCTTATTGCCTTTTTTTTTAACAGTAAGCTGCAGCAAGGAATAAGGGTTTTGGAATCTGTTTTATGTTGGTTTGTAACTTTAATTTTAATTTATTTCATTTCTTACTTAGATAAATTGGATTATTGGTATTTTTTTAATATAAAATTCGGTATAAGTCCAAAATCGAAAATAGAAGTCAGATGCAATCCTTGTATTTGTTGTTGTTGATACAAGTCCTTTGACTTTTGTGCCACGTATGATTACATTCCTTTTTTTTTTCTTTTTTTTTCTTTTTTTTTGTGATATTTACAAATTATTTTTTTTCATTGTTAAATTACTTTGTTATTCCCATCATGGCCCTAAAATTAAATAAGGTAAGAAATTAATTTTTGTCATAATAATTATGATATTGTCAAAATGATATAAAGGAAAATACTGCCACAAATCACATCACGTCTCCTATAATTTTTGAAATAGCTATTATATTTCAGTCATGCTCCTATATGAACGTTGGCATGTTGTGGCTTTGTATTCTTGCACTATGGCAACCTGTACACAAGGTACATAAATATTCTTTTACTCTTTGCCACAACTTTTGTTATTCACTGATTTTGTTTGTTTTTTTTCTTCTTTGATAATACAATTCCTCACTAATTTTGTTTGTTTGTTTTTCCTCATTGTTTTACTTTTGATTTTGTTTAGCTCACTTTTTTTCTTCACGTTTTTGTTGCTGTAAAGTTCATTCCCACCTAATATCTTTAATTAAGATGCAATTAACCATTAACACAAGTGGGTTTTGTGTTTTCCCCCCACATCATTTTCGATTCCTTTGTTCCTTGATAGTTAATTATCTTCCAGTTTTTCCTATTTTTTCCATTTTTTTTTGGTTGTATCACTCAAATCCACACATTTTATCTAAAATATACATGTTTATCAGGTATAGTAGAGTATACTACTTATGTGTTAGGTGCATTATTTTATATTTACCTAGTATTTAGCTACATTATCTTATATTTACCTAGTATTTAGGTGCGTTATCTTAATTACCTAATAAGTAGGTATATTATATCCTATTTACCTAGTAGTCAGGTAAATATTTGTTGGGAAGATATCATCAATAATTCTCCTATTTCCATTGTTTTATATGAACTTCTTTTATGTCACGGCGGCAATAGAAGGATTCAAAATTTAAAATATGAAATCTATTTAGAAGGAAAGAATCGATAGATTAATCTGGGTTTTCAATTAATATTTTTTCATTATTTACCTCAAATGGTAAAATTGACACATGAAAAAATTAATAAAAATCAATGGACCTAAATCTACAACAAAAAAGGTGTGGACTATGCCCAAAGAAGGCTAGGAATTTTGAACTTAGATCGAAGAACCTTTTTTTTTAATGACTTACTGAACCAACTCGAACTGAACTTACAGTTAATCAACCGACCGGTTAAATGGCTTAATGATTGATTAATGGAAGAGAAATTACTCTACCAAGAAATTTAGTATAGTTAATGAAAGAGCTCTCTACAGTTCCAAACCCATCCGTGCCCACCCCTCCTTGTAAGTTGTAACCTACCTACCATGACAAGGTTTATCTATTTATTAATATATATTATCCCAAGACTTGGAAACTCTTATACTAATGTGGCCACGTGGTTAATCTGCCAGAAGATTAATCTTATCTTATATGTATCAAATTATGTTATTTATTTATCTATGATGACCCACTTAAAATTAAACCATTTTATTTACTCAAATTTATGCCATTGTCGACCACTAAGGATGTTATTATTTACTCAAAAAAGGGTTCAATGACTTTACTTTAGCTTCTTGATTGATGCATGTATAAAAGCTTATAATATTTGATAACATGAAAATAAATCACGTAAAAAAATCAAAAGGAAAAAGAGGAACAGTGAGTACCATGCACCCGCTCACACCCAACCAATAAATTTGGACGTTTCCCTCCATAATTTCGCAACTCACTAGCCGCTTCCAACGCACGCCCCTGAACCCCTACTTCTTTATTTTCTCCTCTCTCCTATATCCTAGCTTCCCAACTCTCTCTCTCTCTCTCTCCCTAGCCGCCGCCGCCACAACCGCCGCAATGTCAAGTTCAATCTTCGAAGATGGCTTCTCCTCCGATCGGCTCTTCAACCAGGGCTACTCCTACACCTACGATGACGTCATCTTCCTTCCTCACTACATCGACTTCCCCACCGACTCCGTCCATTTGCCCACCAGACTCAGCCGCCGCGTCCCCCTCTCGATCCCCTGCGTCTCGTCCCCCATGGACACCGTCACCGAGGCCCACATGGCCATTTCCATGGCCGCCCTCGGGGGCATCGGCATCATCCACTCCAACACGACGCCGTCTGAGCAAGCCCACATGGTTAAAGCCGTCAAATCTCGCCGCGTCCCGGTTCTCTCCAATCCCGTTTTCAAATCCCCAAGCGATCGAATCCAATCCGATGACGTCTTCGACTCTTCCAACCCCTACGTCCTGGTCACTGAGAATGGGAGTCCCAGTTCGAAGCTTTTGGGGTACGTGGCGGGTAGAGATTGGGCGAAATTAGGAGACAAGGAGGTGAAGATTTACGATTACATGGTGAACTGTACGGACTTAACGGTGCCGTGGAGTTACGATTTGGGGCGGATTGGGGAGCACATGGAGGAGAAAAGGCGAGATGTGGTGGCTACTGTGAGGGACGATGAGGTTGTGGATGTGGTGGCGAAGGAGGAGGTGGAGAGGATTAAAGGGTACCCGAAATTGGGGGTGGGGACGGTGGGGCCCAACGGGGCGTGGCGGGTCGGGGCGGCAATCGGGACAAGGGAGACAGATAAGGAGAGATTGGAGGGGTTGGTGAAGGCAGGGGTTGATGTGGTGGTGTTGGACAGCTCTCAGGGGAACTCCATTTATCAGATTGAGATGATTAAGTATGTGAAGAAAACTTACTCGAATTTGGATGTGGTTGGTGGGAATGTGGTGACGGTGAGTCAGGCGCAGAATTTGATTCAGGCTGGTGTTGATGGGTTGAGGGTTGGAATGGGATCTGGCTCCATTTGTACCACACAAGAGGTCTGCGCCGTCGGGCGGGGGCAGGTATAAAAATACTTTCTTTTTTGTTGACTTGTTTTTGTGGATGATGCTTTAGGTTGTGTTATTACTGGTGGTGGTTAAATTAAGATTTTGTAGAATCTGGAGGTGAATGGATTGGAAGTTATGTTATTGGTTACAAGGGTTTGTTCTTTTTAAGGGTTGCTGATAATTATACCAATTTTTTTTTATCATTAAAGTTGTTTCGGTTTTGGTATTATGTTTCAGGCAACTGCTGTTTACAAGGTTGCATCTATTGCTTCACAAAGTGGGGTGCCTGTCATTGCTGATGGTGGAATTTCCAATTCTGGACACATTGTCAAGGCTTTGGTCCTTGGGGCTTCAACTGTCATGATGGGAAGCTTCTTAGCTGGAAGCACTGAGGCTCCTGGGGCTTATGAGTATCAGGTATGTCAGGGAGATGACGCATCTTTTATTGCCAGAACAGATATGCTGCTTACACCAGAAATTAAAACTTTACTTTCACACTCCTATCCTGTGTGAGTGTTACTTGAATATGTTTTTTTTGTATTTCATTGAATTATTTTGATGATTTTTTGAGAGTTGAAGGAGGTGAGTACTCAGGTTTACAAAATATTAGAATTATGAATGTGTAAAGAAACTTAGCATGACGCCATGTGTTTCTAAATTTGCCACATATCCCGACTTATTTCTCATCCTTTTTGGACTTCTTCAGCTATAACTGTATAGAATAGTTTTACTTGATTGATGTGTGTTTGGCTTGCCATCGATTTTTTGTGCTTTCACATCTTTAGGAATATCATTGGCATGTTCACATGGACTCTCTCTGTGATGACTAGAACTTCACAAGTTTGTGGCCTAAGTGCAGTATTGGATTTTCATGGATGCATGTTAAAGCTGAACTTATAACGGGGGTACTGTACTACCCACGGATGGACAGAGCATTTCTTACTTGTTAGTTATTATCATGTAGGGAGCAATTGATTGAATTTTTTTATTATTGTTTTGATTTTGGACACAGGGTCATTGTGCTTATTAAACCCACCATACACACGATGTGTAATTCTTGGATGTTAAGTTATATTTATAGGCAGCCTCTCTCTCCCTCTCTCACTTCGACGTGTTTAGTTTCTCTGTTATGTTGTATATGATAAATAAAAAATTGAATATTTAACCTTATAGCTTGTGTGGAGAAGAATTTCCACAGCTTTGTTTCTCCGGGCCATATTTTTTTTAGAAGATTTGTCTGGTACTGGTTGTTTTGATTGGTACTGAAGTGCTTTTGTTGTGCACATCTTTCCTTATGTCTGAACAATATGCGTAATTCTAATTATGTACCATACGTAGTTGTCCTGGCTTTTTTCAGCATACTTGCCCTTTTAGAAGCAACTTGCTTTTTGTTATTTCTTTGTTATTGTTGATTTAGCTATCAGTATGCTTAACCTGTACTGAGGAAACAGTGTCTGTAATATAAGTAATTTCATTTCTCTGTACCAGAATGGTCGTCGAATAAAAAAATATCGAGGCATGGGATCTCTTGAAGCAATGACAAAAGGCAGCGACCAAAGGTACTTGGGTGATACAGCTAAGCTGAAAATTGCACAGGGCGTGGTTGGGGCAGTTGCAGACAAAGGTTCTGTTTTGAAGTTCATACCTTACACAATGCAAGCTGTGAAACAAGGTTTCCAAGATCTTGGTGCTTCTTCTCTGCAATCTGGTCACGACCTCCTAAGAACCAGCGTTTTAAGGCTAGAGGTATGGAGTCCATTTTGCATAAGTTGTTGTGTTATTCATAGCATTATTATCAAGAAAGTCATTTCAGTTCTATGCTTTAATGAGAAATGATGGTGTAATCGATGATTCTTGCAATATCTCACTCTTCTTGTCTGTTTCGTCTACCTTTTGTATTCTAGTTTGCCACTCTCAAGTGGAACCACCAACAAAAGTGAGGAAGAAACATTAGTCTAGAATACTACTATTGGGTGTCAGTCATATACAAACACTGATATATATAAAAGAGCTGTGTGTTAAAACAGAGAGTAGGGATTTAGGTTCAGGGCCCCTTTAAAGTCCAAATTAGGGCTAATATGGCTAATGTGGTCCTCTGAGGGTCAGCTGGATATGTCAAAAGTATTTGCGGTGGCCTTCATGGCCTTTAATGTGCTGAAATGGTTGATCACTTAACCTAGACATTCACAATTTTAGGCTCCAATTAGCTGGGTGTACTTTTACCGCAAGGTGTAGGTGTGACTTATCTGTCATACCAATTCTTAGTATGAATATTTGCTTATGGAACCTGGGATGTTATGGCGGTCGTATTAAGAACTAATGTGACTTATCTGTCATACCAATTCTTAGTATGAATATTTGCTTATGGAACCTGGGATGTTATGACGGTCGTATTAAGAACTAATGCGGTTTTCTCAGTCAGTTGATAATGTATTTTATTGTGCAGGTAAGAACAGGAGCAGCACAAGTAGAAGGTGGAGTTCATGGGCTGGTTTCTTATGAGAAGAAGTCATTTTGATGGATATATCTCTTCATCCTTGGTTGCTGTTGGTGCTGCCTCTCGGAATCTCTCCATGTTTCATTCTGCAACCAAATATCACAAATTTTGGCAAGAGTCACAAGGATTGATTGTCAAACTGTTACAAGTTTTGCAATAGTAGGCGGTTGAGAAGCAGAAGTTTTGGTCTTAAACAGTTCTCTGGCTTTTTGTTGGTTACCATGAGAGCTTCCATATCTAATGCATCTTGTTTGACCCTGCACTTTAAGTGGGACATATATAACTAGTTTGATGTATTAAGTTATGTATGTTTCTAATTTATGCTTTAGCTGAATGAAACAAGTGCTTATTAGAATATGAAATAATGTTGTTCCAATTGTTCACCACACCCACAGGGTTCCTTTCTTTAGATGCATTTGTACCTTATGGTTATGGATGGATGACTCTTCATAATATTAGAATGGATGTTTAATATACTATGAGAAGAGAATAGGCCATGATTCCCGTGTCGAACTTTCTAAGGAGCCCCTGAATTTATACTTTTTATTCTTTATAAATAGAGGGAGCGTTACACGTCCATATTCTGTTTTTTCAATAGAAGAGATATTTACTAAATTATACTAAATTAGTCTTATATACGGAGAGGGAATTCAAACTTGCGTGTAAGGAGGTGGGCTCATTGCCACACTCTGTTTTTAATTACAATGATTTTTACTCGAGTCTCATTTTTGGCCACCTAATTTAGTTTATAAAATCTAATTTCCTCCAATTGGTTACGTGCTAGTGCTTTTAAGTTAATATTTGTTAAGTTATTGATAAATAAAAAACAAAATAAAAATGTAAGTTGCATAACTTTAGGGGCGGATCCGTGATACTTTTTTACCCAAATTTTGGCACAAGCTTTAGACTTTTGGATTAGCCCACAAGAATGGATGTGAATCAATTTGACATAGTAATCATACGTTTTATTCATTTTTAAATAAAAGTTATTCCAAAAACTTGATCAACCAACCACACCATATTTCCATATTATTTTATGACTGGTAAATATAAAAATCAAATACAATATATGCCAAATTTGAGAATGGTCAGCTGACCACTTTAATTGTTCATTGACGCCGTCCCTCGGCTGTAGTATTGTACCGCTAGCTGCGTCCGGGGCGGCCAGCAAATGTTTCCGATCCCGAAGCTTACGGGTTATCTCCTCTACGTGGAGGTGTGGAAGATGGGTCAAATGGCCGGGGACTTCGGCGTGAAGGCACGGGAGGTAGGCCTGGATCTCCGGGATATTGGGGACTTGGCTTTTCTGCAATGACAATAAAAAACTTGATTAATAATAAACTATTGATCAATGTATACGTACATAAACAGAAAAATTAGGCAAACGCTGAGGTTCCCTTTAATGTGAGGCCTTACTGGCATAGTAATTCAATAATATCTAAACTCTATTAACATACTCTCCTTGCAAAAAGTTACTTCAATTGGAAATCATTAATACATCTCATTTTAATAAATAAATAAAATACAAATTTATAAATAAACCCAATCCTAAACATGTATTTATAAAAAAAAACCCAAGCATTATTTAAATATAAAAACACACCAAAAATCAACCCCAAAATCAACAATTGTATATTTTTTGAGTGTGTTTATAAATGAGTTTTGAGTGTGTGTAATGATGATTTTTGGGTGTGTTTATAAAGTGTTTTGGGTGTTGAGTTTTTTTTATTTATAATTTCAGCCCCTATTTTGGGTGTTTTAGTGAAACTCCCTAAATAAAAATACCCAAATACAGTTTTTCGGTGAAACACTGAAGTTTCGCTCCTCCTTTCCCAATCCCACACCACCTTCCTTCTATTATATATAATACGCCAGTAAACACCACACAAGTTGTAGGAGTATAGTTTCCACTAATTAGCCTAAAAGATTTGTTTTGAGAGTGCTTTTGAAAGGGCTAAAATAACTTTTGACATGGTTGACAGAAAAATTTAAAAGAACGTTTGGGTTATGGAAGCACTTTTTGGAAAAACATTTTTAGTGAGCACAAACGAAAAATTTTTAGTGAGTACTTTTTTATGAAGTACTTGGATTTCTTATGAAAAATTTTCAACTTTTATAATAAAAGCGCTTTTGTTAAAAAAGAGTCCCAAACGAGCCCTAAAGTCATGGTATAAAAAACGCTTTTGTCAAAAACGCGTCTCAAACAAACCCTAAAGTCAAGGTCTTTGCGCGTTTCACAACCACCTTCCTTTAGAAACAAAATATGAACATGTCAAGTCAAGCATCCAAGTTGCTAAACTAAAAAAAAACAAACAAAATCAATAACATCAAAATTCAACAAGAAAATTCATTTGCATTTAAATGCATGAATAAATGCAAGACATTGACTTTAATTGAGGTGTAGAAAATCGATCTTTCCCCAAATAGTTTAGTCGGGGTATTCCCAAAGGACTTTGGGAGATCGACATTTTTTGGGTGAATTTGAAGTTGAATGGCAATCAACTTTGGCGTCCTATACCAAACTGTTTGTATTTACACTCTGAAACTGATTATTTATCTTCAGATTTTCTACTTTTTGTTTGCTGCTTAAACGGTTCTCTCTCTTCACTTTCACTATATCAATGGACATTACTATCTGTGCTGCTGGCCCACCTTCAAATTACAAACAACGTGGCAGTGCCAGACAAATGGCCCGGACCACTAGAGAGAGTGTGGTAGTGGTTTAGATGGGGTTGTGTACAAGGCTGCTATAGCGTGACAAGTTTAAACACATAAAAGCTCCTACGCTCCTAGATTAATTGGCCTATATATTAATCAAGAGTCTCACAATTTTTGGTTTTTTTCGGGCATCAATTACGACCATTGTGGCCAAAGCCTACTCTCATCCAGTGGCTCCTTCCCTAGACAACGACTTACATCCATCGAGCTGTATACTCTTTTAGATGTGAAAATCTTGGATAATCAAATATAAGTCTTTGGTGACCGGTAGGTTTGAGAATTAATACATATGCAGCAAAGACTTTGAGGGTCTGCATAGCATTTTTTAGGGAGCGGATAAGTTATTTGTGGTTTCTTTTTTCTTTTTTCTTTTGGGTTTTATTTTGAATGGTCAATAGTCTATATATAAGTCTTAGTATGTGTACATGTGTTTAGTCTTGCACCACTTATTATACTCAACTTCTATACATATGTATCCAATAGAGAGTATCCTTAAGGATCATTAATATCACACAAAAATACATTAAGGATGAAATGTGATAATTTCGCAAACCTCAAGGACTATTTGCAATAAAAATAGAAGAACCAAAACTTAATTATTATTGTTCACCTAAGAGATTGTTGTATGCAACATCTATAGTCAGATTTCATGCTGAGGAAATTCTCCTGATAACTTGGTGCTTCTCAGAGAAAGGACTATCAAGTTTTGCACGTTGCAAATAGAGTGGAATAGTACCATTCAAATGATTCTCAGCAATATACAATTCCAGTACCGTGAACCAGTTAACATTGATTTGTGCAAATACATCTTCGAAGTAAAAGAAGCCGTCGCCAATTAACATTGCTGAAACCTTCAGTCTTGCAAACACGAGCACAGTTTTGGTGACGAACGCAAGGGCCTTTGTGATTTGAAGTTTGAACATATCTGATTAGACAAAATGATAATTAATTTTCTTAAGATACGTGTTCAGAGAAAGAATATCAACAATATGATGAGCTTTCAAACGTTGCCATGAGTTCTTGTTTGGTCTTGAATTTATGGCAGCCTAGTTTGTGACTTTATTTTTTAAATAGATAGATAGGGAAAGTGGCCCAAATATTCTTTTTTCTTTCATTTTTTAATGGTAAGTGAAAAAATTCTCTCTAGCGCTCTCTAGGGTTTTCTCTAGAGCGTCCTAGGGGAGTTTAATAAATAACTTCATGCAAATGAATACCAAATTTAAGTCATAAAATAACACAAATAAAAAGATAAATAAAGTTTATAAAAGCCAGAATATTATTTCCCTTTGAATAAATTAATTTCAAACTATAAAAATTATTAAATTGGTATAAATAAAAGGAAATAAATAAGCTATTAATTTTGAAAATTAAAATACTAAATGATCAAGTAGTCAAATTTGAAAAGAAAAAAAAACGAGTATATTCTTGTCTTTTATAAGAACAAGGAGTATATTCAAACCATATGACAGTAATGACACCAAACTTTTAATTACTTTTTATTAAAATAAGAAAAAAACTGACCCATTAAATCCTTGGAATCTATACAAAATTGAAACACAATTAATCGGCGTTGAGAAATAATTGGTCAGTTTGGCAAATTCTAGCCATCGTTCTCTCTCTGTCTCTGTTGTGCACTATATCAATTGACATTACTATCTGTGCTAGCCCAATTTGAAATGACAAAGAATGTGAACGAGGGGGCTTTCTAGTCTCCATCATGTGCCAGTACCAAACAAATGCTCCGGCGGACACACATGGCGTGACACCACAAAAGAAAGGGATTGAGGATGCACAAGATTCCAGGTCCAAGTCCTTAACCCATTTTGCAAGTTTGCAAGTCCAATCAAGTACATGGAATTATATGCATTTTCTTGACTAAACTGCGTGTAGTCTAATTTGGCTACTCGAATTGTAATTCCATTTCGGAGAAAGTGATTGTTGGTCCCCAAATGCGCATGGTTGGCTTCTTACTTTTGCATGAAACCCGACTTGGCACAATTTCCCCAAGTTACAATACAAGAATCAGAAATTGCTTTACCACTTTTTTTTTTATGGTTGATATCGTATTATGCATGAAACCTGACAGAGCCACAATGTTTTCTTTAATACTCATGATGCAGTTATGGCCAAATATTCACTTTTATTTATGCTATTTTGACACAAATGGGTATTCAGTTTTATTTTTATTTTTTAATGGTAAGTGAAACATGTAGTAGAAAATTTAAATCAAATGCCAAATCCAAACAGAATTCCTGGTTTATTCTTAACCAAATTCGCCCTAAACACAATTCAAAATTTAATCCCTAGTTTATTCAGCTAAATTCACTCAATACAATATGAATCAAATTTTCCTTGCAATGAGTTATTTATTCATTACAATTCTTTGAACTACGAGTGACTTGATTCTCGTAAGGGATACGCATGCACCATGAGGTTCGACTTAGGAGTAGCCGCAAAACCAAACACACACGTTATGTTTCTTTATGATGGAATGAAACGGTGTTCCCTTGAAGCAATGGATTGTAATTAAGAGACACTGCGTCTCAAATGGGTGGAACCTAAAATAATAAAACCCCATTATTTAATTAGTGGTGGTGAAATTATGTTGGGAGTTTCACATTTTTTCTTCAACACGCACCTAAAATAAGGAGACCTCTATGAGCTTCTAAATTTGAGGAGAGAGCAATGACTCCTAGTGACTTCTTATAATTAAATGCTATTATATTTTATTATTATTTTAAGCATTTATTTAATGATGTCTTTAATTTTATCATTTGTTTCTGCATTATATTGTTGGAAAACACAAACATGTTTTTTTTTCTTCAATTCTTTTCGCTATAGGGGTTTTGTAGAGCACGATCACTTTTTATTTTTTATTTTTTATTTTTATTTTTATAATTTATAATTTTTATAAATTTATTTTCGCTATATATATTTTGCAACATACCAACACCTTTTAAAACAAATTATTTTCCCTGTAGGTATTTTGCAAAACACAAACACTTTTTTATTTATATATAATTCTATTTATATATAATTCTTTTCATATGATATCTTGTTTTGCATGACAGCCAATTCTTTCACAGCTGAAAACTATAGAATATCGAAATTGAATAACAATTAAACTTACAATTAACGGAGGTGACTTTAACGGAAGAAAAGTAGTGAAAAGGAGGTCTCAAGTTATTGCTAACTCTAAATTCAACCACAAAATTCAAACATTGCATTTATAAGACGATGACTAATTAGTGCATGTATATAATAGCTATAATAAGCCATCAAATACACGATTGTATAAGTATACAGAAACAAAAATACAATGACATATTTATTATGCTGTCTAGCTTGCCTTATCTCGTATGTCCAGCTGTTCTCATCACCAAACATTGCTTTTGCTTCTTCTCTTGAAGCAGAGGCTCTTCTCAAATGGAAAGCTAGCTTTCAAAATCAAACCAAGAACAATCTGACCTCATGGGCTTACTATCCAAAAGTAAATACAATCCCATGCAACGGTTGGACTGGTATTTCATGCAACACTGCTGCAAGTGTCAACAGGATCAACCTCACCAATTCTGGGATACAAGGTACGCTATATGAATTTCCATTCCTGTCCCTCCCTAATCTCGAATACATTAACCTCAGCTTGAACCAACTCTTTGGTGCCATCCCATCTCAGATCAGTTCCCTCTCTAAACTCATCTATCTTGACCTTTCTCATAATCAGTTGTCTGGGAAAATCCCACCAGAAATTGGTCTTCTAAATAGTCTTCGAGTCCTGCACCTAAATGAGAATCAATTAAATGGCTCAATCCCTCAAGAAATCAGCCAGCTTCAGTTTCTTAATGAGCTTTGTCTGCAAAAAAACAATTTAACAGGTCCCATTCCTCCAGATTTTGGAAAATTAGAAGACCTAACCATGATGTACTTGTTCAAAAATCAACTTTCTGGTTCTATCCCTTCCGAAATTGGAAATTTGAAGTCTCTAGTGAATCTACGCGTTTTTAAGAACAATCTATCTGGTTCAATCCCGACATCTTTAGGTAATCTAACAAACCTTACCCTTCTCTATGCCTATGAAAATAAGCTTTCCGGCGTAATTCCAAAAGAGATAGGGAACTTAAAATCTCTTGTGGACCTACGGTTGAGTGAGAATCACCTTAATGGTTCCATCCCCTCTTCGCTTGGTGACTTGAGCAACCTAGAAATCTTATTCCTACGCGAAAACCAACTTTCTGGCCCCATCCCCCAAGAGATGGAGAATCTCAAGAAGTTGGCTGTGCTGAAATTGAACAATAACAACTTTTCTGGTTATTTGCCCCAAAATATTTGCGGAGGCGGATACCTAGAAAACTTTACAGCACAAAACAACCACTTGATAGGTTCAATCCCCAAAAGCTTGAAAACTTGCAAGAGCTTAGTGAGACTTCGTCTTGAAGGGAACCAACTGACAGGCAATATATCTGATGACTTTGGTGCCTATCCAAATCTTAGATTCATTGACCTAAGCCACAATAACTTGCACGGTGAGATCTCACACCTCTGGGGACAGTGTCCACAATTAGAAACCCTACGAATTGCGGGGAACAAGCTTACTGGTAGTATACCACCTGAGATTAGCCATGCAACCCAAATTCATAAACTCGATCTTTCTTCCAATAGTTTAGTCGGGGTGATCCCAAAGAACTTTGGGAGATTGACTTCTTTGGTGAATTTGATGTTGAATGGCAATCAACTTTGGGGTCCTATACCGTCAGAATTTGGATCGTTGACTGATATTGAATATCTTGACTTGTCCACCAACAAATTCAACGAGTCAATTCCAGGCATTTTTGGTGACTTTCTCAAATTACACTACTTGAATTTGAGCAACAACAAGTTCAGTCAAGAAATTCCATTTCAGATGGGGAAGTTAGTTCATATGTCCCAACTTGATCTGAGTCACAACTCACTTGAGGGTAAGATACCATCAGAAATGAGCAGTATGCAAAGCTTGGAGACGTTGAATCTTCCCTACAATAATCTTACCGGTCTCATTCCAACAAGTTTTGATGAAATGCATGGCTTGAATGACATCGACATATCCTATAATCAACTGCAGGGTCCAATCCCCAACAACAAAGCATTTCAAAATGCCCGAATGGAAGGGAATGACGGATTGTGTGGCAAAGTTGGAGGACTAAAACCCTGCAATAATTCTGTGGAGCATAAGCATACCTCAAGGAAGGCGTTCTTAATCATTTTCCCTATCTTGGGAACACTTTTACTTGCTTTCCTGGCATTTGTTTTGATTGGAATAAGAAAAAGTAGAATAAAGCAAGAACAGGAAATCGAACAGAGTAATATGCACAAAAGCTTTTTCTCAATAACTAATTTTGACGGAAGAAAAATGTATGGAGAAATCATGGAAGCAACCAATGGTTTTGATGTCGTTCATTGCATCGGGAAGGGAGGACAGGGAAGCGTCTACACGGCAAAGCTCCCATCAGGCAGCATTGTTGCAGTGAAGAAATTCCATCAAACACTTGATGGTGAGGAGGCATCTCGGAAGGAGTTCCTTAATGAAATAAGGGCCTTAACTCAGATACGACACCGAAACATTGTGAAGTTTCTTGGCTTTTGTTCAAGTGCCCAACACTCGTTTTTGGTCTATGAGTATCTGAAAAAAGGTAACTTGGCTGCAATCTTGAGCAACGAGCATGAAGCTAAACAGTTGGACTGGAGTACAAGGGTGAGAATCGTAAAGGGTGTAGCTCATGCGTTGTGTTATATGCATCATGATTGCTCACCACCTATCGTGCATCGAGACATAACAAGCAGCAACATTTTGCTGAATTGTGATTATGAGCCTTGCGTTTCGGACTTTGGCACTGCTAAGCTTTTGAATCTAGACTCGACAAATTGGACTGCTCTTGCAGGCACATAT